TTGGTGTGGGGCTACGGCGGGGTCCCCAAGCTCCTCACAGAACCCCCCCACTGGGGGGTCATTAGTCCGGCCTCAGTTTCTAGACCAGGTCCAGATGGGAGAGAGCAGAAGCTTACCTGAGTTACCCCCTGCGCTGGAGGCCCTCAGACACGTCTGCTGGGCCCCCAGAGTGGGTGTGCCGACAGCAGCAGCAACAGCAACAGCGGGAGCAGCAGCAGCAGCAACAGTAACAGCAACAGCAGCAGCAACAGTAACAGCAACAGCAGCAGCAACAGCAACAGCGGGAGCAACAGCAGCAGCAACAGCAACAGCAACAGCAGCAGCAACAGCAGCAGCAACAGTAACAGCAGGAGCAACAACAGCAGCAACAGCAGCAGCAACAGCAACAACAGCAGGAGCAACAGCAGCAGCAACAGTAACAACACAGCAGCAACAACAGCAGTGGCAGCAGCAACAATAGCAACAGAAACAATGGCAGCAACAACAGTAGCAGCAGCAACAACAGTGACCACAACAACAGCAGGAACAGCAGAAGTGACAGCAGCAACAGCAGCAGCAACAGGAGGAACAGCAGCGTGGAGCGCAGCGCACAGCCGTGGCCGCGCTGGCTGACGGGAGAGCGCCGCCCTGCACCGGGCTCACGTCCGCCGTCCCACCTGTAAACCCAGCCCCCGAGGCGAGCCGTGTGCGAGGACCGCGCTGGCAGCCTAGCTCCTTGGCTTTGTCACCTGCTGGCGGTGGGACTCTGCGAAAGTCCTTGAACCGCTCTCGCCTCGGTTTTTCTCAATTGCCAAGTGGACTCGTAATAACGCCTGTCCATAGCGCCGTTGCGAGGATCGCGTGAGCTGTACCTGCCTATCTCAAAATATGCAGAACGTATTTTAAACTTTGACTTCCAATAAAACATCTAGATACATATTTTGTATTTTGTAGAACAGCTGTGAGAATGTTTGTGATTAATAACAGTGATTATTAGATGCGGATGAAGAGCCAGGCACTTTACATGCATTATCTCATCTAGTCATTACAAAAACCCAGGGAGCAGGAGCTGCTGTCCTCACTTACAGATGAGGAAACTGAGGCTTAGAGGAGGTAAGGCCACATGGAGAGGAAACGTGAGGGCCTGTCCCGACGGCCCACGCTCCTCTTTCCTGACACTGGAGCTGGCTGGGGAAGCCTGGAGGGACCTCAGTGAGGGAGGCTGTGGGAGGGACTCGGCATCTAATTCCAGAACTGCTTGGTGAGCACCTGCTCTGGGGAAGCTCTAGGATAGGACATTACTCAGGATACGGTCTGTCCTCAAGGGGAGGTGCTATGTACGTGGGACACTGCACAGAGATCACGGTATGGGGGTGGCCGTCTGGATCAAGAGTCTCACACTCCAATGTCTATGTGCCCCAGGCAGAAAGTACAAGTGCACGAGGCTCAGGAGAATAGGGCCTGGTGGGATGGTGGCCAGTCCAGTGGGCGTGCCCTTCAAAAGCTGAGCATCGTCACTCAGCTCCTGCAGGCTGTCAACAAGAGGAAATGCCTCTCAGTGTTACCCAATCCTCTGGTTGTTTATGTTAACAGATCCTGGAACCCAATTTATGTGGAATTTTCCACTTTAAGAACTAGTGCGTGGCCAAGCTAAGCACTGAGACCCCAGTGTCCTGCGGCTGCCAATGTGACCTCAGGATGATCAAAGGCCTCTCTTACTCTAAACTTCAAGTTCTAGGAGGAGCCTCAGACCCCTGCGATTCTTCTGCAGCATTTGCCCAAGTACTATGTTCCATGCAAAAGCTTCGTAGAATGGATAAATTTCAGTTCAGTTCATGGCACCAGGGGGCCAAAAGTGGAGCTGGATAAAATAAATAAAAATATCTAAGCATAGTGCATAGGACAAGCTTGTGGAGAGTGTGTCATATATGTTTTTCTTAGCTCTTTTTAAAAACAGTACTTTTTGAATAGGTTCGTGGGGCTCAAAATTCAGAAAGTACAAAAAATACACATTGAAAAGACTCCTACCACCTAGACAGACCCCACAGCCACCCAATCCTACGACAGCCAGGGTTACAGTTCTTGCATATCCTTCCAGAGATACAGGTAAATATGTATATGTACCTAATACACATTTATTTTCTCACCTTTCCCACAAATCTTAGAATTTACACTTTCTATTATTTGCTTTTTTAAAATTAATAATGTGTCTTAGAGAATTTGTCTAACCCATGTATATAAAGCTGCTTCATTCTTTTTTAACGGCTATATGACATTTAATTGAATGACGTACTGTAACTTATATAACTGGTCTCCCAATCAACAGGCTATTAGGATGTTTCCAGTCTTTTGTTACATAAAACATTGATTTAAAGAAGAGTCCTTGCATATGTTATTTTGCACATGTAAATTCCCAGAAGTGTGGAATTGCTGGTATAAGGATATGCACAGCTGTAATTTTTATATTATTGTCACACTGCCCATCAGAGAGGTTTCCAATCTGTACTACTCCTGAAATCTGAGACACTTCTCCACATTCTTTCCTAAAAAGGTATGTTCCAAGTGTTTTTTGGGGACCCTCTGTGCTTCCTGGACTTGTAAGTCTATTTCTTTCCCCAGGTAGGGGAACTTTTCTGTAATTATTTTTTTCAAATAGGTTTTCAATTTCTTGCTCTCTTTCCTCTCCTTCTGGTGCCCCAATAATATGAATGTTGGGCCTCTTAAGTTGTCCCAGAGACTCCTTATGGCGTCTTCATTTTTCTGGATTCTTTTTTCTTTTTGCTCTTCTGGTTGGGTATTTTTTGTTTCTTCATGTTCCAAATTGCTGATTTGATTCTCAGTGTGCTCTACTCTACTGTTGATTCCCTGTAAATTTTTCTTCATTTCAGTTCGTGTAGCATCAATTTTCTCAATTATTTTTGTCATACTCTTACTAATATCCTTGAGCATACTTATAACCATTATTCTGAACTCTGTATCTGTTAGCTTGCTTGGCTCCATTTCATTTAATTCCTTTTCTAGAGATTTCTTTCCTTTGTGACATGTTTCTTTGCCTCTGCATTTTGGCTGCTTCCAAGTGTTTGTTTCTATGTATTAGGTAGAGCTGCTATGTCTCCTGGCATTTGTAGAGTGGCTTTGTGTAGTAGGTGTCCTGTAGGGCCCAGGGGCTCAGCCTCCCCAGTCACCTGAGCTGGGCCTTCCAGGTGCTCCCCTGTGTGGGCTGTGTGCACTGTCCTGTTGTAGTTGAGCCTTGGTTGCTGTTGGCGTCACTGGGAGGAATTGACCCCCAGGCCAATCAGCTGTGAGGACCAGCTGCAACTACAGCCAAAGAGCTGCTGTGCTGGAGACACCCCTATGGAGCAGGATTTACTTCAGTGGAGCTTTGGTGTTCACCAAGTGCGCCCCTTGAGTGTGTCACTCGTGGATGTGGTAGGGTTGTAATCCAGCGTGGTCGAGTCTGACCACCAGGTGCACTGTCTCTGGGGCCTCCCGGGAGGTGCAAAGTCAGCCTGTGCCAGTGCCTTGCCCAGGGCCACCCAGCATGAGCTACACAGCAAACCGTAGTTGGCTGCTACTTGTGCTGGGCTTGGAGGTGCCCAGGAGAGGCCAAGCTATGAGCCAATGCAGCTGCCGCTAGTGCCAGGCCTGGGGCCACTTATCAAGCCGTATGGGGCCCGCTGCTGCTTGTTTGAGAGATTTTAGGAAAGTCCTAAGCATGAGGCTCGAGAGGCCACTTGCACAGAAAAGCCCCTGGAAATGGCCTGGATGAGCTGCAGGTGGGGAGGGGCGGGGCCTCCGGGAGTCACGGGGCGGGGCCAACGGTGTGCGTCAGGTGCCGGCGATTCAAACATGGCGCCCGCCTGCCGGCTGTGTGCGGGGAGGACTCGCCACAGGAGCCGTGGCCTCCGCCAGCCCTTCTGCCCGGGAGGAAGCCGCCCTCCGCCTCTCGTCCGGATCTCAGGCAGGTCAGTTCCTCCCCGAGTGTCCCGGGTCCTTTCCGGCTGCTCCCGGCGCTGGGCTCAGAGGGAGCATCCGAGTGAGTCCATTCCGGGCCCTTTGAGAGGCTCCCGCGGCCTCCGCGACCCTCAGGGACAGTCCCCGCTGGGTTCACAGCCTGGAGTTGTGGGGACATCTCTTCCCGGCCCCAGAGGGGTCTGCTGTGGGGCTGGGACGCCCCCTCCTCCGGAAAACCTCCGCCCCGAGATTCCCTCCTGGGTTTAACTCACGGCACCAGGTGTGGGCCCCTGGCCTCTTCTCCGCAATTCAGCCCCGACCCGCCCGCGTCTCCCCCTCCTCCCGCTCTCGGTGCTGCTTCAGCTCCCTGGTTGTGGGGCTTCTGTGCAGCCGGGTCTCAGGAGGCCCTGAGTGAGGGTGGTTCTGGGTTTTAGTTGTGATTGTGATGTGGCTGTGGGAGGCCATGGGTATAGCTGTTTCCTGCGCCATCAGCTTGTTTCCCCCTCCCGGGTGGTTTTGACCATCAGCGACCCCCGTGGGCATCAGTGCAGCGTGGGCCTGCTCTTCTATTAGGAAGGAGGTCGAGCATATTGTTATATTTAAGAGCTGGTTTTGTTTTCACGGAATTATCTGTTCAGATCCTTTGCTCATGTTTTCCTGTTGGGTGGCTGCTTTTATGAATTTGTCAGAGCTCTTTACATTTGGGGAAATTAGCCCTTTGTAGAGGAGTAAATGTTTCCCCTAAGATTGCTATACTATTTAAACTTACAGTAGTTTTTCAACACAGAATTTTTAATTTTTATGAAGGCAAACTTATGCATCTTTTTTAAAAAATGGGTCCTGGATTTTTGGCCATATTTACAAAGACCTCTCCCACTATGAAAGTAGAAAGGTATCCTCCTATAGTTTTACTGTTTCTTTGTTTTTACCCTCAAGTCTGATTTTGTTTGAATGGACCTCACTGTGTGGTATGAACACAGACTTTCCCTCATCTTTCCTTCCAACTGGCCACAGAGTTGGCTGAAAACATGTACGAAGCAGTAGTAGCTCAGCGGGAATTTCAGTCCCTACCTCTGCATCTTCTCAACCTCGTCAATCGTCTCAGGCAAAGTCTTCCCTTTGGTCTCTGGGAGCAACAATACCAGTCCTCCAGCAATCAAGCCAAGCACAGCTGAAAGCCAAACAGACGTAAATCGCATTAAGAAGGGAAACGTTCAGGCTCTATCATTAGAGCTCCCCTTAGTCCATAACAGGTTTTTTTTTGGTGTGTAATTTCCTATACTTATGAATTTCTTTGCCATCTGACAGTTCCTATGCTCCACTATAAATATTTTGCAGATCCTAAACTCCATTGGATTACAATCCCTTATAGGGAAATGAAATACTTCAACTCACATTGGAGTCAAGTTTATTCTAGGCTGGACGACCTTGCCATAATATTAGGATGCTTTTGAGTTAGAAAATAACTGTGAAAAAAGTCGACACTAAGAAAAGAAAGAGCGTAACCCTGGCCAATATACAGCACTTAGTAAGGAAAACTGAATCAGAAACTTGGACCGTTACTGGCAAGTAAAAGTAATGAATCATTTTTAAAAGTATTAATGTATAACAGCATTAAAAAGTATTGCCAGGACTTTGATTTCAAATTCAGGCGTTTAATTCATTTCTGTTCTTTCGCTCTTTGTCTCCAGCTCTAATTTTTTGTATATGTTGGGGGTGGGTAATAGCAAACTTGTAGTATTTTTTAATTCCTATGAAAGTGTAGGGATCACATTTTTATGTGTTTCATGCAGGAGGTGGGAAGTAGGTGCTTCACTAGTTTTGGAGTTTCAGAAAAACGCGCGCCAGCCTCCGTTTCTGCATCCTTAAAAAGCGGCCAAAGTCAAAGACTTAAATAGACACTTCTCCAAAGAGGACATACGGATGGCCAAGAGACACATGAGAAAATGCTCGATGTCCTAATCATCAGAGATGCAAATTAAAACCACAATGAGGTGTCACCTCACACCTGTCAGAATGGCTCCATCAACAAATCAACAAAGGACATGTGCTGGCGAGGGTGTGGGGAAAGGGGAACCCGGTGCACTGCGGGTGGGAATGCAGATGGTGCAGCCACTGTGGAAAACAGTATGGAGGTTCCTCAAAAAATTAAAAAATGGAGCTGCCGTTCGACCCAGTGATTCCACTCCTAGGAATGTATCCTAAGAATCCTGAAACATTCATCAGAAAGAATATATGCGCCCCAATGTTCATAGCAGCACAGTTTACAATAGCTAAGATCTGGAAGCAGCCCCAGTGCCCCTCAGTAGATAAGTAGATAAAAAAGCTGTGGGGCATTCACACCATGGAATACTACGCAGCTGTAAAGAAGGAGGATCCCGTACCCTTTGGGACAGGATGGATGGGCCTGGAGAGTATTATGCTGAGTGAAATAAGCCAGGCAGAGAAAGACAAACATCACATGATCCCGCTTATATGTGGAATCTAAAGAACTTAATAAACTGATGAACAGAATAGATTCAATGACATGGAAGCATAGATGAGACTGATGAACGTCAGAGGGAGGGAGGAGGGCGGGTGGGGGGAGGGGGAGAGAGTAACCAAAGAATTTATATGCATCTATGCACAACCCAAGGGCATGGACGATGGTGGGGAGAGGGACTGGGGAGGGGGAAGGAACGAGGTGGAACGGGTCAATGGGGAGAAAAAGGGACGTCTGTAATATTTTAAACAATAATAAAATTAAAAAAAAAAAATAAAGGGGCCAAAGTGAGGCCCAAGGCTCAGTGGTATGGGTGCCTGCTTCCAGTGAGGACACCCGCCTGCTGGTCTCAGAGCCCCGGGAAGTTCTGCCATGTCCCTGAGGCTCCGGGCCCCCTACATAAAGGGGGGTGATATGCCCACCTCACGGGCTTGTTCTGAGGCTGAAATGAGTTTCTATTAAGAGCTTAGAATGGTGCCCGCCACATGCTCTGAACAAAATAGCTGATCTCTCAAAGTCTCTCCAGACCTCTAGAGATGCCCTTGGCTGTAACTCATACAAACAGTAAACGTGCTCAGCCGGCGTCGATTCTCTGAAGTGACTGAATCATGAAGTTGATACAATAGAGGAGTCAAATTATCATCCATTTAGCATTTAATATTTGCAGAGATCAGCCTGATTAACCAGAACATCCCTTGTCCCCTTCTCCAGGGCTCTTCCGAGTGGGATTATCCAATGTGTTGTTTTGCTGATTTTCAAGAGTCTAGATTTCTGTTTCTGGTCATTTCAAGACCACAGTCAACACACCATTATTGTGTGGAAAAGGGAGGGAAAGAAGTGAAAATGTAAAACCATTTGTTTTGATTCCTGTTAGCTACTCAGATTAAAAGTTGGTGAGGGAAGGCGATGAAACTACAGGCAAAAATGAAATGGGGAGTTGTCACGGTTTACTTTAGATATTGAAGTGCAATTATAATCCTTTATCTTTTCTGAGGAAGTGCCAGCAATGGTTCATCCGGGCCTGGACTTGGCATCGCTCTGATAAATAACTTAGAGAAACTGAAGTATCCGTTCTCTGCCCTAAAATATCCCACTGACCCATGGCTCACCAGCTGCCCACCTAAGGGAGTGGTCGATACTGAGGCATCGCCACCTTCCTCCCGGGGGGCAGGAGTCCGGAGGGTGCAGTGGAACTTCCCCAGGACAGAAAGGGGGCTCTGGGGGCAGGTCTCCCAGGCAGTGCTGGGGGAGGAAGGAACCTGGGGCATGTTCCTCCCACAGGCAGTGCCAACCATTCTGTGACCAAGTCATGGTGTCTCAGGGAGGTAAATTTGTGTCCTACCAACCCTGGCTGTGTTGTTATTGAGTTGGCACGTGGAGGGATCCACCGGGTCTGTCTATTGGAGCTTCAGAGCGTTTACTGGCAGGTCTACAGCTAGTGGAGATTGTCCCCTCACCAACCCCCCGAGAAGAATGAACAGAGATACTCGCGTGCAACCAGCCAGGGCAAGGAGAAAAGCCATGGTCCCTGGTGTGCATCGGAGAGGGTCTCTTCCTTCCTCCTCCCAAATTAGTGAGCGTTGGTGGCCCGTGGTGAAAGTGCTACATTTCTGTCCAATTAGAACTGGCTCAGAATGGGACTTAAAGAGACGGAAAGGGGGACACCGAGGCGGTCTATTCGGGCGGGCGTGAGACGGTGAATGTCCTGTGTGCGAGTCTGGCCCCGTGTCTGTGTGGACACAGGAGAGGATCTGTCCCATGGTCTACAGCTGTGGGCTGAGGCCAAGGAGGCCCATGAATGAGGGTGCCCGTGTTCCTGGTCCCCGGACTTTGTGTTCAGCAAAGGCCTCTGTGTGTTAACTGCAGATGGTTAGACTTGTCCCTGTCACTTTCTGTGCTGTAGGCTGGTGGGGCGGGGAGGCCGCGCAGTGCACTCTTGCAGGTCACAAGGGAAGTCCCCTGACTCTAGCTGCCCGGGAAGCCTGCGGGGGGCCCAGCGCCAACCACAGGGTGCTAGCGCGGCCCTCCCTTCCCCTGGGTTTGAATCGCCCCGTGTCAGATGGCAACAGCTTTTCCTAAGGAGTGAGGTGAAGGGTCCGTGTTTTTCTACATCTGGCCACAGAGGGGGCAGAAAGAGTGAGCTCCCTGACAGCGACCCAAGGAGGGGTAGGAATGAAAGGAGAGGTGAGGGGTCCTCCTCAGGGAGTCTTCTTTCCACCTCGCCCTCTTGACTTCGACTTTGCACCTCCACGGGCAGGGGTCCTCCGAGGGTCCCGTACTTGAGCATCAGTAGCTACTGACAGTATTACTAATACTAGTATTACTGACATCGATAGCATTACTAATTACTAGTCATAGTTAGTAGCTGCTCACAGGAGCCCATTCTGAGGTAGAAGAATGGAGGTCCCTAGAAAAACAGGTTTTCATTCAAAGACGTCTCTTAGGATTTCTTACCAAAAATCACCAGTGGGAGCTCGTGCCAGATGTCAGCGAGCCGGTATATGAGGAACGGCGTGATGATGCCGCCGATGTCACACAGGGAGGAGCAGACGAGCACCCCGAGGTTCCTGGCACAGGACATGGGTTTAACCTGTGAACTTGCCACAGAACAGTGCTATCCCCGCCCTCCCCTCAAGCAGATAAGCCCCCAGATCTGTAAAAGGGCTGCGAACTGAGAACAGTGCTCATGTTATTTTCAACACACATGCATGATGCATGGCACATATTTCATTTATATTCTGTTGTATTGGTTGTATGTTAACTTTCTTGAAAAATTTTAAGTGGGGGGTGATTTTCAGTCTCCACTTTCATCACCTGCTCCCGTATCTAGGGCCCTGTTGGCGCTGTTTCCGGTCACTGTCTCCGGTCACTGTTTCTGGTGGCCGTCAGGTGACCCTCTCTTGCTATTCGGTATCTTCTATTCTCAGCGCACATTTTCTGTTTTGCCCCCGCCTGTCAGTGTGGGGTGGGACCTGGCTACCGCCTTGAAATGCTCTCACCCCCGCACCCTGTGTTTTGGAAAGCAAGGCGTGCTCTCCCGGCACCCGTGGCGGTTCTGGCCGAGCAGCAAGTGGCCCCCACCCTCTCCACACTGGGGGGCGTGCTCACCTGATGAATGTGGGGTACAGCTCCGCGTTCACCAGGCAAACTATTTCGAAGGCCATGGTGATCCCCATGCGGCCCAAGCATGAGGCGGTGACTCTTAGCCATTGCAGGTCTGAGGGGAAACACCATTGCACGTACTGAGCGCAGCCCCTGGTCTTTAAACAGTGCTGGGGGGGGGGGTAGGTCCAAGGGGAAGGACCACACCCCAGAGCGGGACAGGAAAGCAAGGCTGCTTCTTCTCCTGGTTCAAGACAACGTCAGCAAATCCCCCATGTCTGTTTATTTTAACTTTAGGTACAATCCTAGTGCTCTTTTAACTAGAGGCCTCAGTCATCAGTGACAACAGAATTCTACCAGTTTCCGGAGGCGGGACAACTTTAGCCCACAGAGGTCGCACGAAAGAAATAGCAAAGCATGGGCATATTCTACAGAGCCGCTAATGACCTAAGGATTCAAACAAAGCTCCACGTTGCTGATAGGATTCTGTTATACAGGTTCGCTCCCCTTCATTGAGAAAGTATTTTAAGAGGAAAGGAAGGAGCTGAATAATTGTTCACTGATGGTGGTCACTTAAGTTTCCTCATTAGTTCTGCAGGACGGTGCAGGGAGGTCAGGGGAGTTGCTAAGCAGTAGAGTACCTGAGAAGTGCTGGAATAAGACGGTACCCCTGGGCCTGCTCCACCCCAAAGCCCATCTCTCTGCACTGGGCCAGCTGGGTGGCTTGTGGCTTGTAGCCTGGGTTCCTCCTGATCACACCAGAGGACAACCGGGTGTAATTATATTGCATCAGCCAACCATTGGGTGCGATTGTTCTTAAAGGCCTAGGTGTCCGTCAGCAGGGTCCTAGATAGTGTGTTCGTTCTTCCCAAATCGATCTGCATGATAAATTACGTGGCCTTCCTATCAAAGGGCCGTGACATCCCTCTTCTGAGGGTCTTAGAAAGCAAGACCCTCGCTTGGCCTGACACTTACCGTCAGGGATGAAAGCTGAGGCCAGGCAGGCTGCCCCCGCCACCATGTTTGACCCAGCCCATGGGTAACGACGGCCGATGCGGTCGATGGTGAGGAGGATGGCGAGGGCCGCGGGGAACTCCATCAGGGCCGAATAGAAGAAGTCCAGGTAGAGGTCGCTCCCTGCGAGGCCCATGTGCATGATGAGGCCCTGGTAGAGAACAGAGCTCATGAACCTGAGCAAAGAGGAGAGCTCAGGTCAAGGCGAGCAAGAGCAGGTCACCGAGACGGGGAGGCTTCTGGGAAAATAAGAGTCGACTGGAGGCCACCTTTCTTTGTCATCCTATTATTGCTATTCCCTCCCTCCATTGCCTTGACACTATCTGACCCACTGTGGTGCTGGCTGTGACCCCAGCACCAGGAGAGGGAGGAAATTAGGATAGCATCCCCTGGCCAGGTTTGAAAGGCAAGAAGAAATGTCTTAGTAGAGCGATTTTTTAGTAAAACTATTCAGGTCATTCGTGGTTGTGAATTACTTCTCTGTGGTCTCCTAATGCAATTGAGATGAAAGGGTTGACGATTTAATTCAAATTTTAGAAAACCAGAGCAGCCAATGGGCACAGCTCTCTCCTTAATGATTTACCCTCTGCCGCTGTACAAATACCATTTTACACTGTTTCTGGTTTTGTTGACTGAAAGTGTTCGTTCTCTGTGATGGGAGCTATGAGGATAATTGCAAGAGTCGCTATTATTCAGCAAAGGGAAGAAGACCGAGGCCAGGTTTCGCTGATGCGGTTTTTCATGCCGTATCATGAGGGTCTCTTAGTTAGTTCCTGACGAACCCTGCTTTTGTCAGTGACTATGGCTCTTCAGGTGGCTGGTGTGAGCCATCCCCGCGCAGACCCTGGAAGGAGACTGGGCTTCGCTGGGCTCGGTGCAGAGCCGCAGCTCAGGGCTCGGGGCAACCTGCAGACAGTGAACACGGTCGAGCCGAGGTTCCTGGGTCGTGGAGCCAGTGGCTCATTCTTGTGGTTTATTCTTGTTCAAAAGTTATTTCTCCAGGTAGAAAAGAAAAGAAAAGGCCCTTTCCTTCCAGCCCTGTACGGTCAGGAGAGGTCTATGCCTGTCATCGACTGATTTATGCCAATTTGGGCTGCATATATATATGTATATATTTAAAATGTTGGTTCCTGGGATCCTTCACTGGATAAGTAAGCAGTGTCCTCGGCGGGGAGGGATCTGGCCTAATATTTAAAAACCTCCCAGGTGATTGCAAGGTGAGGCCAAGGTTGAGAACGGACTGACTGGTGCTTTGGAACTGGAAGTTGGTGCCTGAGAAAAGCGACCCCAGGAGAAGCTCTGTAAATGGGCCCGTCTTGCCGTCCACCGTCGGCCCTAATGCCGGAACCAGCCTGTGTCTGAACGTATCTTGTGCCCATCTGCAAAGTGGGTGATTGGAAGTAAAGAACTCGGAAGGGTTTTGAAGCGAAAAGTACCCCTTACCAGTTGTACATCAAGATCAGGGTGTGTTTCCTTATCTGAGGGGTTCTGACCAAGTCCAGGAACGAAGGACTCAGCTTCCCGCCGGCTTCGTCATCAGGCCTGAGGCTCTAAGAGCGGAAACAGTAGAAGCACTTTTTACATTTAGCGATGGTCACACGGGGAAGGACAGTGGTCCCTTCCACAGGCTGAGTGCTTATAATGTGTCCGGGCCTATGCGCAGCCCTTCACGCTGGCTCCCTTCATCTTTACAGCTATCCCAGAAGCTGGGCTCTGGTTCTCAGCCCATTTCACAGAAGAGGGAGCTGGGACGCAGGGAGGTTAGATAACCCAGGCACGTATAAAAGTGGGGCTATACGGTAAAGCACTGGGGGTAAACTGAGGCCCCTGTGGAGGTGTGTGAAAGACCGAGGAACATGGGGACGCAACCTCTTGCAAGACCGGCCCTGACCAGGCCTAATCGCCGTTAGGTGAGCTGTGACCTCTGGCAAGACAATGGCCCACGTGTGCTTTGGTCCCTGACCCGTCTCCGCACGGATCTAAAACCCAAGACGGGTGCTGGCCAGTCATTAGTGGGAAAGAATGTGCTGGCCCCCCTGGCGACCAGAGAGGGAGCGAAGAAAAGAGGCCCCTGAGCCCCTAAATCCTCCTTCCAAATGCCCTGTACAATCTGAAACTCTGCGGGTTACCTATCTTAGCTCCTAAGTCAGGAATGATTTACTCTTGACACAATCTCCTAATAAGCTGGAGTTTCTCTTTTCCAGCCCCTGTCGGAGGAGTAGGTAGAAGTTAAAGGAGTAAGGTCTGCTCAAGGCAAAACCCCAAATGCCGGGAAAACAGAGCCCCCGTCACCCGTTCTGCTCGAGAAGGCAGGGGGTCGCTTAACACGTCTCGGACGCTTTCTATCCAAATGTTTAGATTCTAAGAAATGATTGTGTTTGAAAATCTGTTTTCCTGATCTGGGAATCTTCCCTCTGGGGAAAACCGCCTTCCGTGGGGATGCCGAGGAGCACACAGGTAAACCAGACGTGGGTACTAAGGCTCGGGGCGGGGCGGGGCAGGGTG